GGTAGAAATACAAAATGGTACAGCCACTTTGGAAAAACAAATTTGGCAGTTTCTTATAAAGTTAAGCATATACTTATATGACCCAGCAATCTCACTTCTAGGTATTTATCCAAGTGAAATGAAAGCTTACACTCATACAAAACATGTATATGAGTATTTATACATAATTTTCCCAAAATGAGCAATTAAAAATGAGAAATTGTGGTAATCCATATAAGGGAATACTACTCAGCAATAAAAAGGAACAGATTATTGATTCATACAAAAACATGGGTCAATCTTAAAATGCATTTTCCTAAGAGGATCATTGTTGGGACTGGGTGATGGGTACAGGAGGATTGATTATTCTGTTTTTGTGTGTGATTGAAAATTTCCATAATAAAAGTTTTAAAAGTGTATTTTAATATGGTATTTTTAAATGATATCACAATGTCCAGGTACTGCACAGATGAGACTGAAGTTCCATGTTCTAAAACCAGAAGCTCCATCTGAAATGTTGCATAGAAAACTGCTCATTGGCTGGTCGCAGTGGCTCACGCCTGTAATCTCAGCACTTTGGGAGGCCAAGGTGGGTGGATCACCTGAGGTCAGGAGTTCAAGACTAGCCTGGGCAACATCGTGAAACCCCATCTCTACTAAAAAAAATACAAAATTTAGCTGGGCATGGTGGCAGGCACCTGTAATCCAGCTATTTGGGAGGCTGAGGCATGAAAAATCGCTTGAAACCAGGAGGCGGAGGTTGCAGTGAGCTGAAATTGTGCCATTGCACTCCAGCCTGGGCGACAGAGTGAGACTCCGTCTCAATAAAAAAAAAACAAAAACCAAACAACAACAACAAAAAAAAACAAAACAAAAAATTGCTCATTACATAAAGATCCAATCTGGAATGTAAATTTTATTTTATTAAGATATATACTTAGAAAGCATTTTGAATTATTGGCTTGTTGGTTTTAAGAACTGAATTTGCCTAGGCATTAGGAAAAGTACAGAAAGCTCCCCAGAGCAGTCTGGAGCCCAGCAGTTCCAGGCCCCTAGGCCATCTGAATTATAGGACAGAAGGTGGGGGTGTCAGTGAGCACTGTTCTTCTGAGTGTCTGTCAATGGAGGGTGCATGTCAAACAGGAAAGAGGTTTGCTAAGGCTCTATGTTTGTTTGCCTTTTCTTCAACTGGAGACTGAAGTTTGAGAATAGTAAGTAAGCAAGTAATCGTTCTCCTAGATCTCATTACTTGAGTTTTTTTTTTTTTTTTTTTTTTGAGACAGGGTCTGGCTCTGTTGCCCGGGCTAGAGTGCAATGGGACAATCTCAGCTCACTGCAACCTCTGCTTCCCAGGCTCAAACCATCCTCCTACCTAAGCCTCCCAGGTAGCTGGGACCACAGGCATGTGCCACCATGGTGGGATAATTTTTGTATTTTTGGTAGAGACAGGGTTTCGCCATGTCACCCAGGCTGGTCTCGAATTTCTAGCTTCAAGCAATCCTTCTGCCTCGGCCTCCCAGAGTAAAGGCGTGAGCCACTGTGCTTGGCCTGAGATAATTTCTTAAGATGATGTATAACACCTCCTGCAATGATAGTTTCCCTAATGTAACGCCTCCTGCAAATTGTCCTGAGCTGTTTGAAGCTGCAATCAGAATATATTGAAGTTTCAACATTTTTACTGTCCTTTCCTCTACCCCCAGCAATAAAAAAAAAAAAAGAAAAAAAATTAAAAATATTATGGGGCCTATCGGCTGGGCACGGTGGCTCTTGCCTGTAGTCGCAGCATTTTGGGAGGCCAAGGTGGGCAGATCATCTGAGGTCGGGCGTTCAAGACCAGCCTGACCAACATGGAGAAACTCCGTCTCTACTAAAAATGCAAAATTAGCCAGGTGTGGTGTGCATGCCTGTAATCCCAGCTACTTGGGAGGCTAAGGCAGGAGAATTGCTTGAACCCGGGAGGCGGAGGTTGCAGTGAGCCAAGATCATGCCATTGTCCTCCAGCCTGGGCGACAAAAGCAAAACTCCATCTCAAAAAAAAAAAATTATGGGGTCGGGTGCCGTGGCTCAGTCCTGTAATCCCAGCACTTTGGAAGGTAGAGGTGGGCAGATTGCTGGAGCCCAGGAGTTCAAGACCAGCCTGGGTAACATTGTGAAACCCTGTCTCTACAAAAAAGCTACTCTGGAGGCTGAGGCAGGAGAATCGCTTGAACCCAGCAGGCAGAGGTTACGGTGAGCCAAGATCATGCCATTGCACTCCAGCATGGGCGACGAGCAAAACTCCGTCTCAAAAAAAAAATTATGGGGCTGGGCGCAGTGGTTCAGTCCTATAATCCTAGCACTTTGGGAGGCAGAGGTGGGCAGATCGCTGGAGCCAAGAAGTTCAAGACCAGCCTGGGCAACATTGTGAAACCCTGTCTCTACAAAAAAGCTACTCTGGAGGCCGAGGCAGGAGGATTGCTTGAGCCCGAGGTTGAGGCTGCAGTGAGCCAAGACTGTGCCACTGCACTCCAGCCTGGGTGACAAGACTCCGTCTCAATTAGAAAAAAAAAAAAAAAGGAAATCTCTGAAGTGATAGTAATGTTTTATGTCTCAATAGCAATTTGGGATACAAAGGTATAGACATTTATTATTATTAAAACTTGGAAATTTAAACACAAGCACGTAAGGTTTATACATTTCATTGTATACATATTTTACTCCAAAAGAAAAAAGTCAACAAATATTTAACCTAGTCAATGATATACATGCTGAGTTATTTAGGCAGAAGTCTACTACTGATGTCTACAGTTTACTTTTAAATGCGTCCAAAAAAAAAAAACCAAAAACAGGGATTGACGAATACTTAGAGAAAGGTACAGACATGTGATAAGCCAACTATAGTGAAATGTTAGTGGTAGTCTACATGATAGGTATATGGTGTTCACTATAAAATTTTTCAACTTTGCTATATGTTTGCAAATTTTCACAATAATATATTGGAGAAATGTCTAGAAATGTGATGCTACCCTAGGTCAGCAGGAACTGTGAAAGATTAGACCTGTATTCTGGTTACCAGATGCTTAGAGCCTTTTTTTTTTTGGGTGGGGGGGTGGTGGTAGAGTCTCGCTCTGTTACCCAGACTGGAGTGCAATGGTGTGATCTCGGCTCACTGCAATCCCCATCTCCCGGGTTTAAGTGATTCCCCTGCCTCAGCTTCCCAAGTAGCTGGATTACAGTCACCTGCCAGCATGCCCAGCTAATTTTTTGTATTTTTTGTAGAAACAGGGTTTCACCAGGTTGGTAGGGCTGGTCTCGAACTTGATCCACCCGCCTCGGCCTCCCAAAGTGCTGGGATTACAGGCATGGGCCACCACGTCTGGCCTGCTAGAGCCTTTAAATATACTTGATATAATTTCTTGATTTCTGATCTCTTGAGGTTTGGTTTACTTAAATCTAATGATCTCATCTCCCTTCTACTTTCACTTTCTGGTTTATCTAGTAATTTGTTCATTCATTTTCAAATATTTACCTTTCCCTACTAGGAACCAGGCCCTGTGTAGGTGCTGGGGATACAGTTTTGCTTCTGCTCCCCTGGAGCTTCCATTGTGGCTTATTCCCAGTAACTAGCACTTCCAACTCCCTTAATTCTATCAGGAATGCTGGTTCCTACATCTTTGAGGCTATGACAGACAGGACCATTTTATCCATTGAATAGTATAGACCCCACACCAAGGGTCTGGGAGCTTTTTAGGGTTCTATGAAAAATGTTTTATGTATGAAAAAGAGAATCTCCAATTTACGAAAGAAAATCGCAAAATCCTATACATTGCCAAGACTGTCAAAATGAACTCCTAGTCTTTTTGATTCGCTCTTTTTTTACGGCTCTGAATACCATAGGACTGCAAGCATTTCTGGCCCCAGTGGCAAATCTAGCCCTAATATAGATGCTGTATGGGAATAAGATACTCCAATAGTCAGATGGATGCCTAAGCTATCATAGCCTAATGACATTGCAACTTCATTCTTTGAACTTCTTATGCTGATCCGTTGTTCAGCAGTCCACCTTCTGATTCCCATGTAGGTCTGCAGTATTTCTTCGGGTATTTCTAGTCTCTGTAACAGTGCTTTCTCAGGTAAACCCATAAAATAGCTTGTGATTAAGAGCTGTCACACCACATGTCTAGAATTTGAGAAGGAAATAAGCCAATCCAGGTCCAGTGGCTCATGCCTGCAATCCCAGTACTTTCAGAGGCTGAGGTGGATGGATCACCTGAAGTCAGGAGTTCGAGACCAGCCTGACTCACCTGATGAAACCTTGTCTCTACTAAAAAAAAAAAAAAAAATTAGCTGGGCATGGTGGCAGGCGCCTGTAATCCTAGCTTGGGAGACTGAGGCAGGGGAATTGCTTAAACCCAGGAGGCAGAGGTTACAGTGAGCTGAGATCGTGCCACTGCACACTAGCCTGGGCGACAGTGTGAGGCTCCATCTCAAAAAAAAAAAAAAAAAAAAAAAAGGAAAAAAAAAAAACGGCCAATCATGTCAACATTTTGGTCCCTTATGGCCATACATTTCTCAGTGTAAACTAAATTGCTAATTTAAGAGGGACAAGGAATATTCTTGCATATCTTCTCATCTGTACCTTTAGTTTTAAACTTACTTCTAGTTGATTCAGGCCTTGTGAAGCCTTGTTTTATCTTATTCTTGGCATCCAGGTTCTAACCCCTACTGTTCTCCCATTATTGACCATCCCTTACCAGGCCTATCTTAACAGCTGAACCCTGGGCTTCTTAACAGCTGAACCCTGGGCTTCTGTTTCTCCTTTTTTTTTATTTTTTATTTTTATTTTTATTTTGAGACGGAGTCTGGCTCTTGTTGCCCAGGCTGGAGTGCGATGGCGCGATCTTGGCTCACTGCAACCTCTGCCTCCCAGGTTCAAGCGATTCTCCTGCCTCAGCCTCCCGAGTACCTGGGATTACAGGCATGTGCCACCACACTTGGCTAATTTTATACTTTCAGCAGAGACTGGATTTCTCCATGTTGGTCAGGCTGGTCTCGAACTCCTGACCTCAGGTGATCTGTCTGCCTTGGGGAGGCCACTGCACCCGGCCTGCTTCTCCATCTTTAACTGTGTTGTTTAGGCCCTTAGGCCCCATCAACTCAATCCCCAGGTTCTTTGGGCCACAATGATGCCCCTGAGGTTTGCGCTCCCTGAATGCCCCAGAGCTGGAAACGAGGCAGCTTTTGCACATAAAATTCCTTTATTATAAAGGTTTCCTACTAATACATACTAACAGGTATGAGATACTGATTTTAAAAACTTTGTTTTAACCAAAGAAAATAACAGAACAATGTCTTATAAGCCAATATTTAAAGAAAACTGAGAGCATTATGAAATATTTTATTTTTATTGGTTGGTAATTATATCTGGATGGCTCATGAAATTACTGTAACATCCTTGATTTTATTGTTTCCTCAGGAATTTCTTCTCTATTTTAAATAAAACATGTTTTATGCACTGAGTGCATTTAGTATCTCCGCTTTGTTAAACAATTACAACACTGTACATACACAGAGCTATGTAATGTGCATATTTTAACTATAGATTAGCTTCCTAGGAAGAACAGTGTTGGTATCCTTTTCCATTTAGAGTCAAAAGGAGTCTGATGGCAGTTCTTTACAGTGACTGTTGAGATGACTGAATCTTCCTGAGCCAAGTCTTCACATCTCTATTTTGTTGTTTTAATTTGAATAACTATGAAAAGATTGATTTTTTTTTTTTTTTAGGACAGGGTCTCACTCTGTCACCCAGGCTGGTGTGCAGTGGCGTGATCATGGCCCACCGCAGCCTCTGTCTCCCTGGCTCAGGTGATCCTCCTACCTTAGCCTCCCAGGTAGCTGGGACTATAGGCTCCTACCACCACCCCCGGCTAATTTTTGTATTTTTTGTTAATCCTCCCACCTTGGCCTCCCAAAGTGTTAGGATTACAGGCGTGAGCCACTGTGCCCAGCCAAAAAAGACTGAAATCTTTTATTTCTAATAGAGACCTCAAAGAGCTCACTGCATAGGACTGACCCCAGGTTGCCTTTATATTTCCTGCATTTTTCTTCTGTTGGTCTTCAGGGAAGCTGTATAATATAAATGACTGAATGAATGTGTTTGTGTGTGTGTGTGTGTATGTACACATATATCTCCATTCAAAAGCTATAGCACATGTATGTTTTTGTGTATGTGTATATATGTGCATGTATATAAGTATATATGCACATACACATATATACACACACAAAGCTATAGAAAACATATATCTTGTGACTAAAATTCCCTGAACTACCAGTAACTCCAGAAATTCTATTCTGGAAAACAATGGCTAACATCTAATTCATTATCTTAGAATTATCACAAAAGGAATATGAAAATGTGGTTTCTAGTGCAGTGCAGTTAAGATAGGTATTCTTGTAGGCCATGGTTCCAAGAAATTTGTTTGACAACTGTATTGAGTAGTATATTTCTCCTCTTCCTTTATTTTTTTCCCTTATCTCTTTTGAAAAAAAAAAAAAAGAAAATTGTGTTCCTCTTTCAAGTTCTTTTTCTCTCCTGGCTTATATAGTATGTTACCAGCAGAACTTTCTCTAAAATGAAAGGAAGTCATTGCTAAGAAGAGACAAAAAGTTAACAGGATTAAAGGAATGAAAAGGCACATGGAATTGCTGGGTGTGTCCAGAATCTGAGAAGATTTGAAAAGAGGAGCAGAAAGAATTTTTGTATTTTAGAAGTTGAGGGGCCCTCCTGGCCTAGTTTGAAAAACACAATCAGATACAGTTTGAAAAAAGTCCAACAAGATCTAGTGGGAAGATAAGCTAGCATCTTGTTACAAAAAGTGCCACGGGCCTTGGCTGTATATTTTAAATGAACTTCTTAATTTCATATCAAAATGCATAGATACTTCCTGACCCCTGTTCTTGCCCTCCTCCATTTCCCTGTTAAATCCTGACCTTTCTCTGTTGCTCTTCCCGTTTCCACCCTGGAGGTCTGGCTGCCAGGACTATTCTCAGGTTGCCTGGGTCTCCGCAGTAGCACCCATTAGCCATGTTGCTTCTGGGCAGGCAATCTGTTTCTGTGCAAAGAGAAAATGCTAGGGTGAGTCACCAGTCCTTCTTTCCTAACAAAAGAGCATTGTACTGTGCTGTTTGATTTCGGCTCTTGTGTGCAACTTGTGATTGCAAACTAATGGGGACATGAGGCACAGCTCCAGTGACACACCTCTCAAGTTGCATTATAATGATCTGATTGGGATGTGCCCCATTAGACTGTGAGATCCTTTAAGGCTAGGATGCTTTTATTTTTGTGTTCCCAGCCCTAAGCACACTGTGCCTAGCTCAGGGTAAGCACTAAACAAATGTTTCTTGATGAGAATGCTACAGGGGGAAGGGAAGGGTTGTGCTGTACACCAAGAGTGAAAGAGCTACCCTTTAAGAAACAGACTCACCTTCATGTGGCCTGCAGAGGGCGCTCTTACATCATAGCTATACCGTGCATCCTTTGTCCATCACTGGTTTCCTGCAGCGGTACCTTTTCGGTGAAACCACAGGTGTGAGGCTTTGGAAATTTAGACTTAAACCTGCCCAAACACATTAGAATATCATCAGTTGCACAGAACAAATCCACATTACAGTTATTCCAAAAGGACAATAACATTCCAGGATTTGCTTAAATACTACTAAGCCATGACATCTCAGAAAGTCTAACCTAAAGAAGAAAAGTTGCCTGGTTAGTCTTCCGGGAAATATTAGTAATTATTAAATTTGGAAAACTCCTTACACTCACTTGATGAGCCAGTTCATCTAATCCAACTACCTCATTTCTCAGATGAGGAAACTGAAGTTTATAAAATTCCTCAAGGTGATGTATCTACAGAAAAATTATACTCTTAATTCAGGCTTTAGATGTGTTGAAAACATGTGGCAAGGTGTCCATTTGGAAAAAAATGCACATAGAGCCTTCTCTCTCCCTCTCCTTATTTAAATAGATTTAAAAATAAAAATATGACCAGGCATGGCAATTCATGCCTGTAATCTCAGCACTTTGGGAGGCCAAAGTGTGAGGAATGCTTGAACCCAGGAGTTCGAGACCAGCCTGGGCAATATAGCGAGGCCCAGTTTCTACAAAAAATTAAAAATTAGCCAGGTATAGTGGCATGTGCCTATAGTCCCAGCTACTCAGAAGCCTGAGGTGGGAAGATAGCTTGAGCCTAGGAGGTCAAGGCTGTAATGAGCTGTGATCACACCACTGGACTCCAGCCTGGGCAACAGAATGAGATCCTGTCAAAAAAAAAAAAAAAGTACTGTAGTAACTGCTGAATAAAATACGTAAGACTTTGGAAAGACACTATTTTAATGGTGAATCTGGACAGCACTCCAAAGATACCTTTTAAAAGGTTGGAAGTAGGCTTTTAACATGTTATGGGGGGATCAACTGTGTAATAAATAATACAGAAGTAAAAGGTGTTGGTTAGTCAAACTGACCATCAAATTGAGAGCCAAAAAGCCATTAAGTTATGATTCTGGACAAGGCTCTGATTGCCACAGTTGAGAAAAGTTATTTGACATCTTTTTCACATAGTTAAGCTTAAAAAACAAACGCAAACTCAAATCCCCAAACCCTCAAAGCATCAAGTGCTTAAAACATTTATAATATACCTTCCACATCAACCCTCACCTCCTCCTTGTTTCCGAGAAACCATGACCCTCCTCCAGGCTGGTTCTTGATCAGCACCCCCCTCCCTTCCCTGGGTGCCTCCCATTTGTAGGCAGCCATTACTGGGCTGTATTCTGGTTGTATTGAGGCTGGCAGGAAAGGGAAACAAGGATAGCATGTTCATGTGGTGTGAGTGGTCTCAGTTTCTAGGCAAGCTGGGGGAAAGGGCAGTCCTGTGGCCCTGTGAGAGGCCCACTCAGACCCTGGCCCAGCTCTAAGGGCTGAAGCAGTTCTGAGGGATAGCACTTCACTTCCATCCGTATTAGAGGCCCTACCTGGGGAGAACAGCAGCAGAAAAGCAGCCCTCAAAGAAATGCTACCATGGGACATGGCCTCAAGAGAGGAGCCTCAGCCCGAGATGAGATGGAGGGTGGCCTTGAAGAAAAGAGGCCCTGGCTTCAGGGGCACGGGGGAAAACAGATGAGGTGTTGGAAGGAAGCCAGTCAGGATTCTTTGCAAAGTGAGGACAGTGAAGCTGGGATTGAGGACCCTTAAACAGGGCAAATTACAGGAATTCTCCCCAGCCAATGGGAAGGGAAGGGCCTGAGCATTTTTCTGGCCTCTCAAATTTGAAGATGCCTAGGGATCACTGGGGAATCTTGTTGAAATGCAGAGTCTGATCCAGTAAGTCTAGAATCCTGCCTCAGATTCTGGATTCCTACCAAGCTCCCTGGTGAGGCTGCAGGTTCTTAGGCCCCACTTTCAGAAGCAAGAGTGTCTTCTAGACTTCAGAATAGAGAAAGTTGAACAATAGAGACCATGTATCAGAGAGTCACCCATGGGCAAATTCGTTGGGAGGAAGTCCTAGCTCCAGTTCAAATTCAAGGTTGTCTTTGCAGATTCCCAGGTACTAAAAGGATTTTAGGAGTTCAATTATTGGGCAAGAAGAGGAAAGGATCCCAGATTTAAGGACCCCCTCATCAGTATCCCTTGGGGCTGGGAAGAAGAGTGGCTGGTTTTCTATTAGGTAGGGGGCCCAGATCATCTAATAATCAGGGCGATCTGGTGAGGCAGAAGATGATGCCAGCAAGAAAGACCTTGGAGGGCCTGGAGGGCCTGCTGAATTCTCCATAGGCAGCTTTTCACATGCTACCTGAAGGCAGCCACTGGGAGGTTTTGAAAGAAGATACTAGGTTACTCCACACTAGCACTTGCCAAACTAGCTAACCTGGTGAGAGAAGCTGCTAATTGTAATAGAGGCAGAATGTTATCTGTACTATTTAAAACAGTTTTCCAGGGGGAAATGAGGACAGGCCAATGCAGCCAGAAAGCACTGGGTGTTGGCTTTGCAGAAAGCTTAGTTATACTTAGGAACAGGGTTGCCAGGTGTCCTGTTTTGAACTGGACAGCATGGTATTTTAGCTTCTAGTGTGTGAAAATGCAGTAAATGCTTGTTTTTTTAAAAAATCATTATTGCGGCCAGGCACGGTGGCTCACGCCTGCAATCCCAGCACTTCAGGAGGCCAAGGTGGGTGGATCACCTGAGGTCAGGAGTTCCAGACCAGCCTGACCAACATGGAGAACCCCATCTCTACTAAAAATACAAAAATAAAAAATAAAAAAATTAGCCAGGAGTGGTGGCGCATGCCTGTAATCCCAGCTACTCAGGAGGCTGAGGCAGGAGAATCGCTTGAACCCAGGACATGGAAGTTGTGGTGAGCTGAGATCCCGCCATTGCACTCCAGCCTGGGCAACAAGTACGAAACTCCATCTAAAAAAAAAGAAAATCATTATGGCCAGGCATGGTGGCTCATGCCTGTAACCCTGGCACTTTGGGAGGCCGAGGTGGGTGGATCATGAGGTCAAGAAATTGAGACCATCCTGTCCAACGTGGTGAAACCCTGTCTCTACTAAAAACACAGAAATTAGCTGGGCATGGTGCTGCTGTGCCTGCAGTCCCAGCTACTGGGGAGGCTGAGACAGGAGAATTGCTTGAACCTGGGAGGCGGAGGCTGCAGTGAGCCAAGATCATGCCACTGCACTCCAGCCTGGCGACAAGAGCGAGATTCTGTCTCAAAAAAAAAAAAAACAAAAAAAAAACCATTATTATTTCACATGTGCTTTATATCTTATGTTTTGATTTATTTTTAATCAGCAGGGGTTTGTAATTTCAGCTTTTAGTTACTCCTGCTGTTAAGTATTGAATGGACAAACACTACTTAATACAGCGTTACACTTCTTTTGAAATGTGAGGAACTCTTTTATTTATCTGTGTGCAAATAACATGTTCCAACACTACTGTTAAGTATTCTGTTAAAGTACAAATCTATCCCTTAGGAGGGGAGGGTACACTCTACAAGAAGTTTTTTCCCCCAATCTCTATGGGGTGGTTATTTTTGTAATCCTGTTTATGGACAAAGCAGGGAAAACACAGTCATCTCTAGGGCAATGATAAGAGCTAACGTGTGTTGAGGGTTACCATGCGCCTGACAGTGTGGGCACTCTGTATCCTCTACCTCCATCCTCACAGAGATCCCGTGAGGAGGAGTGTCCAGTTACCGCCATTTTACAGAAGAGTAAACAGGTTCAGGGAGATTCAGTATTGAGGCCCCAAGCCTGGAAGTTATCCTCCATTTCTCTTTTCCTCTTAGGCCCCTCCTCCAATTTATTAACAAGTTCTGTCAGCTATAACTCCAAAATATATTTTTAAAATATGACCTTTTTTCCTACCCTAGCTCAAGTCCTCATTATCTTTCTTGCTTGGATGTCGCATCAGCCTCCAAACTGTCCCCTGGGGCCACTCTTACCCTTAGTACCATCTTCCTTCCACACAATGGGCAGGGTGGGGTTTTTTGTTGTTGTTTGTTTGTTTTTTGAGACAGGGTCTAACTCTGTTGCCCAGGCTGGAGTGCAGTGGTGTGGTCATAGGTCACTGCAGCTTCAATCTCCTGGGCTCAAGTGGTCCTCTTACTTTAGCTTTTCAAGCAGCTTAGGCTACAGGTGCACACCACCACACCTGGCTAATTTTAAATTTTTTGTAGAGATGCAGTCCCGCTATGTTTCCTAGACTGGTTTTTTGCTTTGTTTTGTTTTGTTTCTGAGATGGAGTCTTGCTCTTTTGCCTAGGCTGGAGTGCAGTGGTGTGATCTTGGCTCACTGCAACCTCCACCTCCCGGGTTCAAGCGATTCTCCTGCCTCAGCCTCCTGAGTAGCTGGGACTACAGGCACCCACCACTATGCCCAGCTAATTTCTGTATTTTTAGTAGAGACAGGGTTTCACCATGTTGCCCAGGCTGGTCTCAAACTTCTGACCTCAGGCGATCTACCCACCTTGGCCTCCCAAAGTGCTGGGATCACAGGTGTGAGTCACCATGCATGGCTGCTAGGCTGGCCTATAGTGGTCCTCCTGCCTCAGTCTCCCATAGTGTTGAGATTATAGGCATGAGCCACCACTCCTAGCCCAGAGTGATCTTTCTAAACTGTATATCAGATGATGTGCTCTCCAATAGCTTCTCTTCATATTTAAAATAAAACCCAAAGTCTGTTCCAGGACTTACAAGGCCTTACATGATCTGGCTCCCCTTTGCTGCATGCAAACTCTTCATTCATTAATTCAACTAATATTTACTGAGGTCCTGCCATGTGCCAGACACTCATAGCTGCTAGCATATTGCTTCTGTACAGAGCTCACATTCTAGTGGGAAGAGACAGTAATCAAAGAAACACAAAGTATGTCAGGTGGCGATAAGTGGCATGGAGAAAAATGAAGCAGGAAAGGAGACCAGGGAGTGCTGTGAGGCAGTGAGAGGCCACCATTTGTAATAGGATGGCCAGGAAGACTTTCCTGCGAAGGTGACATCTGAGCAGAACACCTGAAGGAGAGGAAGGAGTGAGCCAAGTAGACTTTGGAGGAAGAACATTCTA